AATCCCAGATCCCTGCCGTGTGCGACGTTGCGACATTACGAGGATTCGCGTCCCTGCTACTATGACATTACGGGATCCCAGATCCTGCCAAGCAACATTAACGGGCCTATCCTTGCGCTTCCTCAAGCTAAGCAGTACTAACTCTACTGAGAACAGAAATTCACTAATCCACCTAAAGCTTACGTGGCTATCATATTAACTAATTAGGTACTTTATAAAAGAACTATCCAATCTCTCTCTCTCTCTTGATTACAAATTTACTTATCTCATCAAATACTAACGTACTGTCTTGCCCCCGTCCACGCCCCCCCGTGGCACGGTCTAGACGAACCAGAAGACCCGGATACAGCGGCTGAATCTCTCGGGGTCCCGCTCCCGCATCTGGTTACGCCCAGAGGCACAATATAAAAACCGGTGATAACCAGGATTTTACTCCCTACACCGTTGCGACATTACGAGGAATCGCGTCCCTGCTACTATGACATTACGGGATCCCAGATCCTGCCAAGCAACATTAACGGGCCTATCCTTGCGCTCCTCCTGACTAGACAGCACCGACTCTACAGAGTAAAGAGATTCAATAGCCTATCTAAACAAAGCTCACGTAGCTGCCGCATCGGTATACCGCCGCATTATTTAATTACTAACCCTATCTAACTTTCATATTCTATATTTTGACCTAGCATGTATACGGCGCAGTTATTTAATGTAATATTTAATAATATGTGTACGCAAATGATATCTAACAAAACGTATCAATATATTTATCAAAATATTCATGATCTAATTAATTAATAAACTACGACACTTAGTGAGATGTACTCACCCTGCTTTCTGCTTATATCACTGCACGAACTAACTAATTAACTTTACTTTAACTGACACACTATTCACGCCACCGCACTCTAAACTGTACTGTGCGTCGGAATATGTGTATTTTTCTGCATTAGGTAATATTCTCAAACTTTCTTTTTCGAAACAGAATTGTTTCGACCAATCATCGTTCGATTTTGAACGCTTTTCTAGTAATACTTTTACCCCTAAATCGGAGCGCAGTACGCCCATAAAATCAGATATGGCGTGACATGCTTGAGACGCAGAAATACTTACCAGGCACAAACTCTTAATATGTGTCGTTTTAAAACCTATGTTAAAAGAAATATTATTGAGAAAATAAACTCACGTTATATGTATTACTTTTAGATTTATTCATATTAATTTTGAAATTTACAATTTCTAGAATTTTTACAGTAATTGAACCGTCAAAAGGTTTATTTTCATAATTATCTATTATTTTGTGAATTTTAAACGTTAATCTTAAACATAAACTTTAAGCACAGTTTATTGTTAATATCCTGTGCTTTAAGTATAAGTATATAATTGGATTCTTAATAACCACACTTTTATTTTCAATCTGTGGCCCTACTTAAAGATATTTCATTTTCAAGGTGGGCTAATATTGATGATATATCCAAAAGAGTAATTAATTATACAATAGATCATTCTTTGTATTTGATGTTGTAAGAGAATGTTTGAATACCTCTTTTATGCTGACAAACAATAATGAATGTTTATCGTTTCTGGACACCTACAATTAAATGAAGAGATTTGTTTTTAAGCAATTTCATTATTATTTTTTTATGGATTTTTTTTTCATTGACGTTCTCAATTATTTAATTGATACTGGTAAATCTGTAAAATATTGATTTAAGTTTTTAGAAATTGATTTATACGATATTTGGTGTCGATTTTTAAGAAGGGCAACAGTAACGACCCGGAATGCCCCCCCCCCTATAGAGGGCTCAGTATTAAACTGTTCCATTAGTCAATTGTTTGGGAAAGTCCTCCACACTGAACTAAGAAATAATATCGGACACAAGATTGGAGAGGCTCAAAGTGGTTTTGTTCCGGATTGCTCGTGCACCGACAACTTCAAATATGCACACATAGTGCACGTGCACATACTCATATTATAACCCAGGGCAAGAGAGATAATATGGTTTCTCAAAATAATATTTTGAAATGAACAAAATTCTTACAGCTTTAGTGTATAATTAATAAATAATATTTTCTTGCCTTTAGCTGTGTATTTTTTCTAATTTCGAAAAATCGAAAGTAGAGAAAAAAAAAGAAAATTGTTTTGCTTGTCGTAAAGGGGGGAACCAAGCTCCACTCCCACAACCGGTTTCTGGGCCTACCCTTCATCAGATGGGCTGTCCAGGCGCTGGTTCTCACCGATACGGCAAAAGCCAGTATAATACTAAAGTGTCGGTGAGATATTAGTGCATCTCCCGTCAAGAGATGGTAAAGAGCGTTTTTCGATTTTTCGAAATTAGAAAAAATACACAGCTAAAGGCAAGAAAATATGATTTATTAATATTTTGTTAATTTTATATATATTTGAGCGGACCGAAAAATGCTCTTTACCATCTTTTGACGGGAGATGCACTAATATCTCACCGACACTTTACGACATCGTCTGTTAATATTGAAGAAGTTTTGCTTGCCGTTTCGGTGAGAACCAGCCCCTGGACAGCCCACCTTATGAAGGGTAGGCCCAGAAACCGGTTGTGGGAGTGGAGCTTGGTTCCCCCCTTTACGACAAGAAAAACAATTTTCTTTTTACTTTTTTTTCTCTACTTTCGATTTTAGAAAAAATACACAGTTAAAGGCAAGAAAATATTATTTATTAATATACACCAAAGCTGTAAGAATTTTGTTCATTTCATATATATTTGAGCGGGCCGAAAAACGCTCTTTACCATCTTTTGACGGGAGATGCACTAATATCTCACCGACACTTTACGACATCGTCTGTTAATATTGAAAAAACTTTGCTTGTCGTGTCGGTGAGAACCAGTCCCTGGACAGCCCACCTGATGAAGGGTAGGCCCAGAAACCGGTTGTGGGAGTGGAGCTTAGTTCCCCCCTTTACGACAAGCAAAACAATTTTCTTTTTACTTCTTTTTCTCTACTTTTGATTTTTCGAAATTAGAAAAAATACACAGCTAAAGGCAAGAAAATATTATTTATTAATAATATTTTGTATACCATATTTATGCCAAAGAGAAACATATTTCCGAAAAACCACACTAAGTTATGAAGAGAATATATAGTTTAAATATCATAAATTTTTGACTAATATTCCGTATTTAATTTGCTGACTTCTTGAGGATAATTTATAAATATGTGCAAATGGTGATTCTAACAATTTAATTTTATGCGAGAATTAATGATGATTGACTTGAAAATTTAAAGACGAACAAATTCGTGAAAGATCAAAACTTTGCATTAAAGTGAATTTCTCTTCTGTAATTTAGTCAGTTAAAAATAAATAGTATTCTGATTGCCCTTTTCACTAGACTTAATTGCTAATATTTTAAAGAATACTTACTGTTATATTAGGAAGTATTTACGCCAATAACTATAGTGACACATATGTATACGGGTGACAATTTGAAAACTAACAGTATTTAATATTACCTCTACCGATGATAGTATGAAAATTTGGCAAAATACGTCAATTTACATATCAAGGGGGACAATTTTTGAGGCATTTGTTGTCGTGTTACTTTCAACCCTTTGACCCCCAGGGCATCTACCCCTAAAATTTTAAATGGCAACCCATATTTCTTTTACCATTTTTGTGTTGGTTTGGTTTTATATTTATATGTTCTCTGTGCTATAAGTCTTTTTATTCAAAGCATTTCAGAAACTAATTTTAAACAAGAAATGATAATTTGTTTTTCATAATGCATTTTGGTAAATTTGCAATGAATGTTGTATCGTTATACTGTAACAATAAAATCATTATTGCACAAAATGACACAAATACCATTATTATGACCGGTTAAAATAATATATTAGTGTACATGAAACAAAAAATCGTCTATATTTTAAACTAATAAAAAGCCCCAAGGTTCACTTGCGGTATGTAGGTTTCTAGCAGGAAAAATGCTTTCGGTTGTTGCAACTTACTGAAATAATAGTGTGCATTCGGTAATAGAAACAATAAACGGAGCATATGAACTTGTATAGAAAGCGTACAAAATAACTAGTATGAAATACGTAATGTGACAGCTACATAATTTACGAATTGGCTATTTGTATGACACGATACTTTCACATGCGGACGATGTTATTAATTGAATCGAGTTTTTTGGTACAGTTGCTAGCAGAAGTGCTTTCTTTAATTTTTAATCGTAATTAAAAAGTCCTTCAGTCAATTAATTTAAGTCACATAAAACGAATTATTTCTAGTTTGAATTTATAATTAGTTTGTTCATACATCTCATTGAAAAAAGTTATCATCTAAATAATAAGACCTCTCGTATAAGGTTTGATCCAATGTTCCTAAAAAGCTCCATAACATGTTTTTAATTTGACATTTTCTCTATAATTTTTTAAATATATCTCTTCTGTCTTTTCTACAAAAGAAATATGTTAAAAGGTCAATGTTAAATTGATGTGTATACAGAGCTGCAACCTCAAAGGAAGGTTAAGTTAAATTTAATATTTTAAACAATGTCAACAAGCCTTTTTAGAAAAAAAGTTAAGTCAGATTTTTATATACACTCATCGGCAAAAGTCTTGCACAATTACACGTCTCGTTATATCTCCGTACATTATAAAAATTATACAGATCATACTGTGAATAGTTCTGACTGACAACGAAACGCATTAGCAAGCAAGGGGGATGTCAATGTTAGTCGGGAACTATTGTGAACTAAAGACCTAGTTCAAGGAACTATTCCTCTTGAGAAACTAGAACTAAGGAACTAGTTCCTCCCAAGGAACTAGAATTCCCACCTCTACTTTGCATAGCATATTGTTGTGGCTATGTGTACTAATACCTTAATATGTGTCTACAAAAAATAGGTCATAAAAGCAATGAAAGAAAACCTTATCGATGGAATATGTATGGTGTTGGTATTTGCGGTCAAATTTTGTTTCTCAGTTCGAGTTCAATCTTCTAGTAAGTGTTGTGAAAGGCGACAAAAATGCCAGGGCACGAAATTTCTGAGTTCGATAGGGCCCGAATTATCGCTTTGCATGAAGAAGGTCTCAGCAGGCATCAAATTGCTGATCGTTTAAATTTAGTGCGAAGTACTGTAAGCCGAATTATACAACGGTATATGGACACCGGAAATGTAAGATCTCGTCCTAGGTTGCGTCCGTCCAAGGGTAACGACTCAACGACAGGATCGCTACTTGGCTCAATTTGCCAGAAGAAATCGGTCAGTTCCAATTCGAGAGCTACGATCTCAGTTTCAACGAACTTACCACCGAGTGATACCAAGCCGAACCATTTCCAGGCGACTTTCTAATGCTGGATTTCGGCGTAGACGTGCACTGCGAGTCCCTCTATTAACATCATAGGCAAATGAGGCTACAGTGGACTAGAGAACACCAGAACTGGTTATTACCTCAGCGGAGAACGGTAATATTCACTGACGAAACCAGGATAGGTTTGATCAGTGATGACTATCGTTAGCGAGTGTGGAGGGAGGCAGCATCGCTTGAATACAGCCCTTGCTGTTGCTCCATATCAAGGAGGAACTGAGATGTTCTGGGGTGGTATCATGTACAATAGGCGAACAGAGCTCATTCATATTCCTGATGTGTTGAACGACCATTTGTATGTGGAAACTGTAATAAGACCAATAATTTATCCACTGCGAGAAGAAATCGGCAATAATTTTATTCTCATGGATGTTAACGCTCGTCCTCACAGAGCTAGGATGGTCCAGGAAGCATTAAATGAAGGGGAAATAACTCGTCTAGACTGGCCTCCACTCTCCCCTGACATGAATCCTATTGGACATGTCTGGGACACATAATCAGAGCTGTATTTCGCAGAAATAACCCACCAACAAAACGCCAGGAGTTGATCATTGCCGCTCAAGAGGAATGGCAGAACTTACCTCAAGAAACCATAAACAACCTTATAGTGGGGAAGCCCCGACGACTTGATGCACTCATAACAAATCGAGGAGGCAATACTTTATATTAGTAACCTTAATTTTGTCAGAATTTATTATTTATTTATTTATTTTTTTGTCAAACATTTTTCTTCATGGAATTTGCATTTTTTTGTATTTTGGTAAAATATATTATTAAACTTGGTGAAAGTTTTCCCTTTTTTGTGTTATTTTTTAACATAACTTTAGCATCTATTGATTTCCACGAAAAATTAGTTTGAAATGTATTTTTTTATTAAAATAGTAAGGGGGTGCAAGACTTTTGCCGATGAGTTTATTTTTGTGATATTTTTTTTATTAACAGCAGCATTTCTTTTCGGAATCGGTTCTGATTATTCGGACCTGTATTCCGGAAACTTCGGCAGCATATTCTGCAGATACAAATTAGTAAAAAATTCGTATAAATGTATGTCCTAAAATGTTTAGTTTCGGAGGTACGGGGCGTGGAAGTTTAATTTTTATTTCGATTTTTTCCAAATAATTTCTGAAGTAACGTCAATATTTGGATGAAAATTGGTGTCTGAAAGTTTTTTGACATGATAAATTTGATTTTGATGTCAATATTACTCCTATTTATCGGGGGCGCCACCTACATGTGTTTTAACTGTTTTGAAGAGTAATAACTTTTCGTCCATACCTTTTTTGACTGTAGTGATTCTGAAAATTGACCGTTTTATTTTATGCGGTTTTACATCAGTTTCAGTCATTTTGCCGACTTAACTCGCAGATCATCATGATTTAAATCAAAAATATAGACTTTTATGTCTACCGACGAATGTTGAAAATATCCTGGACCGAACGAATAACAAATCTCGAAGTATTGGAAAGAATGTGTAAGGACCAAGGACTACTGACTACAATAAAACGGCGGAAAGCAGCATATTTTGATCATATTTTTCGAAATAATAAATATAGTTTCTTACAGCTGATCGTTGAGGGAAAGATTGAAGGACGAGGAGGCATCGGGCGTAAACGGTTTTCCTGGTTGCGGAATTTGCGCCAGTGGTTTAATATAGGAGAAGCCAGTGCAATTATCCGTTTGGCTCAAGACAGGGAGGAATTCCAATTGATGGTCGCCAACCTCCGATGAGGAGAAAGCACATGAAGAAGAAGAAGACTTATATCATAAAAATTACGTAAATTACATTATAAGATTTAAATCATTTATACTTTATGTTGAAATTGACTTAAGATTTTGATCATTTTGATTTTAGAAATGACTTAAGACTAACTATTTAAGTCTTTTTGAAAGTGATTTGTAGCTCTGTGTATATATTGGGGAATGCGTACTAACAAGTTTAGGGTATCCAATAAAGCCTTTATAAAGAATATTTATAATAACATAATTATAAACAGGGGCGGATACAGGAATTTATTTTAGGGGGGGGGGGCAAAATGAAAAGCAATGTAGAATATGGTTTTTAGGGCGCCATTTTTAACCCAAAAGCCTAAAATTTTACACATTTCAAAGACTTTAGGGGGGGCCCGGGCCCCATGGGCCCTCCCCTGTATCCGCCACTGATTATAAAGCATTTAACTAGGTGCCCGGTGGCGTAGAGATACAGGCTCTCGTCTACCAATCTCTAGGTGTGGGTTCGAATCCTACACCCGGCATTTCATCATCCGACTATTTTTATTAAAATAAAATAGTTTGGGTACCTAGGTCGACTCAGTCTTAAATGAGTACTTGGGATTCACAATCTGAGGTAATAATAGGCGGTTGAAGCGTAGTGCTAGCCACATTACCTTCCTTGTATACCGAACGGCTCTACCATGGCAAGCTGTACCTTGCTACTCCCAAGGCGTTAAACGCTATATCTATACGGGAGCTATTATTATTATTATAAAACATTTAACTAAAACAGCGGTCGGAATATTCTAATTAAATAATTTAAAAAATAAAAACAACAGTTTCTTTAAAAAATAATAATATATTATTAATTATTCTCTCGGTTTCAAGTAACTACCAGTTGGATTTTAAGTACGACATTTATAATAAAATGAGGAAATGAACAGCTCTTAAACTGTTTATTTATATTTTGAAGATCTGTAGGCATCTAAATACTAAATATCATGCTAAAAGTAGACAAGATATTACTATTTAGAGTCGAGAGTACGATGACACGTACTTGGCAACAGATCATTATTATTTTTTTACTATAGGTGAATCTCATTAGTTTGAAAGATTAATACAATTAGTGAGGATGAAACCTTTAGTGTTATGACAAAATATCCCTAATTTACCGCAATACACTAAAACATTTTAATTTATTTTCTATGGTTAATATAGGCTTGTCATTTAAAAAAAAAATTAATTAAATTTTGGTGTTGCGAAGTTTATGTGATAGGGAAAGATCAAAATGGTCCAAACAATAATTTATTAAAAAAGCAGATATAAATCACTTAAAAGAAACATTAATAAAAAACAATTATTCGCCATTTTTCATTGACAAAATTTTAAACCAAAGACCAAACACAAACCATAGACTCACAAACCATACACTCAATGAAGATAACCCATAATTATATTCAAAATTAAAATCAAGTTCAGTTTTGACTCACATATAACCAATGAACAACAAACAAAATATATGATATATACAAAATACCATTGCGTGATAAATTTTATATTGATGAAACATCTACACTTTTAAATGTTTGAATTAAAGAACATAAAGATTATTTAAAAAAAGGGTGATTTTTGCAATTTTTGCACTGATTTCTGTCGAAAATCAACTATATAACTATGATCACTTCCCCGACACAAACGGTATATTGTGAGACAGGAAATTGTAGAGAGAAACAAGCCCTATAATATAGGATATAACAATTTAATGAACAGTGCTTTCCGTAAAATCAATAAAATGATAAATATACGAAATAATATATATGTACCGATTTCTTTCGAAAATCGACAACTATGAAACTATGATCTCGTCCCTGACACAAACGGTACATTGTGAGACAGGAAATTGTAGAGCGAAACAAGCCTATAACATAGGATAGAACATTTTTAATGAACAGTGCTTTCCATAAAATCAATAAAATGAAAAATATACGAAATAATATACATGCACTGATTTCTTTCGAAAATCGACAACTATGAAACTATGATTCCGTCCCTGACACAAACGATACATTGATTGTGAGACAGGAAATTGTAGAGCGAAACAAGCCCTATAACATAGGATAGAACTTTATCCTATGATGTATGTTTATGTGTTTATTTATTAACAAGAAAGCGTATCGGTTTTTTGTTACAATGTACTGATTGACACTTCGATTTTGCGCCCCCAAAATGTTGCGCCTACGTGCGTGCACGCACTGCACGCTCGCCAGGAACGGCCCTGGAATCTTTATATGTTATTAACTAATTTTCATATATAACACTAATAAAGAATTTTGATAAATATTTAAAAATATTTAAAAAAATAGTCGTAGTTGGCATATTTTAGTAATATAGGTATGATGAAGAGTGGAACAGTAACAAAAGATAACACGTAATGCATCGTTAGTTCGTTCCTCCATTGTTGTCTTTCATTTGCTAATGCATATTTTGAGCTTTTAAGGATAAACAATAAGAATTCTTCTTTTTGAACTGTATACATACACAACACTTGAAATACCCGAGACTGAATTTTGAACTATTAATTCAAGAAAAGTTAATTAAATATTAGGAAAACATCGAAATACTACTAATTCACTTTCAATATGTTTGGATTCAGTTTAAAAGTTAAATTAGTATGAAATAAGTGAATTGTTAAAATCATTTTTAATTATAAAATTTCATAGTAGTTTTTTAAACGAAAAACAGTAAATATGTAATTCGATTAATTTTTGGGGGCTAATAAGCAATAAAGAATGAGAAAAATGAAAAAAGTTGTTCAGTGTATTAATCGTTTTCATAATGCAGAAAACTAAAAGTAAAAAAATTTAGCAAACTTATTTCTAAAAAACTTATTTTTATGTTAACAACATAGTAACAAATGGCCCAATAAACCTTTTCATAGTTATCGCATGCTATAAGATCGAAAAATAAAACGGCGTCAAAGACGGCTGGGGAATGACAATCGATAATAATTTTGGCGAGGTCAAGCCCTAGACGTCCTTTACTTGGCCCATATCCTATTTTATTTATGGCACTTACTCCCAGTTAACCTTAAGAATATGATAATTATTTTTATATTGATTAAAAAATATTTTTAAATGGTGTAGTGTAAAATTCGAGGAAAACAATTTTTGGAAATAGATTTTTTTGCCTGTGATTTCCTTTTCTATAATTAATGTTAATTTTTGACAAGTTTTATGTCAATTTTTAATAAATGACATCTAGAGATTGACCTCGCCAAAAATATCATCGATTGTCATTCCCCAGCCATCTTTGATGCCGGTTTTTTTCGATCATACGGTAGAATACCGATTTCTTTTTTTTCTTTTTTTCTTTTTAATTTATTACAGAATCTCGAAACTGTAATATATGTAAAAAATAAACCAACTAGAGTTGAATAAATTCAATAAACACAAACTCATATTTTTAACAAAAATGTGTTAATTATGTATAATAATAATTTCCATTGCCAAGCTTTTGAATGTACCTAATCTCCAGTTTATTTTCAGAAGTAAACAAATAAATCATATTTTACCCACTCGTTAATAGACTTATAAAGCATTTGTAGATAATAAACAGGGTGGTCCGAACTATATCCGGAAATTTCGGCTGCATATTCTGCAGATAAAAATAAGTAAAAAAGTTCGTATAAATGTATGTTCTAAAATGATTACTTTCGGAGATACAGTGTGTAGAAGTTTCATTGATATTTCGACTTTTTTCAAATAATTTCTGAAGTAACGTCAATATTTGGATGAAAAATGGTGTCTTTATGTCAATATGACTCCTACTTGTAGAGGGCGCCACCTACATATTTTTTAACTGGTTAAAAGAGTAATCACTTTTCGTCCGGACCTGTATAAAACTACTGAGAAAAAAATACATTTACGACGTTTTTTACGTAAAGAAGGTCTCTTGAAAGAAAGAGAAATAAAAATACACATACGGACATACGTTTATAAGAACTTTTTTACTTATCTGCAGAATATGCTGCCGAAGTTTCCGGAATACAGATCGGACCACCCTGTATAATAAAAATAAAAAACAAAGTTTACTTACGATTTGGTGATTGCTAACTTTCAGTAAAATAGATTTTATACACAAGTTTAGACACAGAAAATTAATAAATAAACAAAGTTGTTCAAGTTTATTCAACTGTCTAGATTCCAGAAACTTCTTTAGACTTTGTAACACGTCTTTATACCGCAACAACTAGAAATAGACTCCCCTTTCCAGATTAAGAACACTATTAATGTTTCCAGCAAACAGACTCAAAATTAGAAACACAACATTTATAATCTAGATTTAGCCCAATCTGAAGAGCTCTTTTATTGATTTGACATTTAAGCTATTTTTAAAACTAATGAAACTGAATTCAGAAAGTAATTTTTAAAAATGGTATTTACATTTATTAGTCCAGGATACATATACTTATTTTCAATTATACCGGGTGCGTCTCAAACGTGGCTCATCCCCTCTAACTTTTTTATTTTTTCAGATAAACAAAACGAGATTTGGTATGTTAGTATATGACATAAATTAGGATTGAATTACGTATTCAATTGTTTTCGGTCACTTCCTGTTTCACCGAAAATTATTACAACTTTTGATTTTTAAGTTGCACCTTCGATATTTTTTTACTTTATTCGATCGAAAATGACACTCTGAATAGAATGACATATCATATATCAACTTTTGACATTTTCCCATATGGTTTATTTGAAATTGTAACATGGCACCAAATTTTTCGTAAAAATGCTTTTTCCAAATATGTTAATGAGCCACCTTCGTTCCATTTGAAAAAATCAAGTTATGCTGAAAAGTACGATTTGGACATCCTTTAACCAGCCAGGACAAGACACTAAAAACATTAGACGATCAAATTTATTTTTCCAGGGCTCCTCGATTTTCCAGGGCTCCTCGCCTACTAAATTGAAATTTAAAATACGATTTTTTTCTAAGCGAAGATATCAAAAGTTGACAAGTGATATGTCATTCTATTCAGAGTGTCATTTTCTATCGAACAAAGTAAAAAAATACCGAGGGTGCTATTTAAAAATCAAAATTTGTAGTCATTTCCGGTGAAACAGAAAGTGACAGAAATCTATTGAATACGTTAATCAATCCTAATTCATGTCATATACTAACATACCAAATCTTGTTTTTTTATCTGAAAATATAAAAAGTTATAGGGGGGTGAGCCACTTTTGAGACGCACCAGGTATACGTACCATTGAAATAATAGAAAGGCCGGTTAGACATTTTAGATAAGTGATCAGACTGAAAGGATTGATTGGAATGGTCGCAGAGGTATGTAAATGGAATACCTTTCCTGGCCACTTGTGTGAATTCTTAAACTATACTTAAGTGAAAAATGATAAGTGCGAAAAAAAAATCGAAAGTGATTGTTTTACCTATGTATATAGTATATAGATATATCAAAATCTTCTAAATCTACAATTTAAAGCCATATAGGTTCAGAATCCTTCTGCAGTGATGCAAAAGCAATTTCAAGAACGGCCACAAAAAAGTGGGTGGCCAAAAGATCTCTAAAATGGTAAAAATTCGAAAAAATAAGGCAGATTTGATAAGCAAAGGGAGGAAGATTGTAAATTGTTAAGGTACGTTCAGGCTGAGAGCGTCGCGTCGCGTTCGCGACGCCTCGAGGCGTTCAGGCTGGAAACGTCAGTCTTGTGAGACTGTTTTGGAAACTGGAAACTGGAAACGTCAGTCTTGTGAGACTGTTTTTTACATTTTTAGTTTGTAAAATGGTTTTAAAGAGAGCAGTTTATTTAATTTTACTATTAGAAACATAGACGCTCGACGCTCTCAGCCTGAATGTACCTTTATGGGTCTACTAACAGGGCATTGCAAGCTCAATAGGCACCTTAAAAGCTGATGGGATTGCCGCACAAAGATATGTGAAGATTGTGTCAATCAGAAGAAGAAACGACAGGACACATTTTATGTTAGTGCGACAGTCTGGCAATTATGCGGTTCTTTATATTAGGAAATGATAAGCCATTGACAAAGAGCTATGTAGAAGCTCAGTCTCCAAGGTACTTAGACTTTTATAAATGGATAGGAGTGGGGAATGTAACCTAGAAATCAGAAGAGGTACTCAATAGATCTGAAAACAGGCCACCTAAAAAATCTAATATATCTGAAAATCGTTGTCAGTAGTGGGAAATGTTCCAGACACCAATTTTCATCCAAATATCGACATTAGTTCAGAAATTATTTACAAAAAATCGAAATAAATATGAAACTACTATGTCCTGTATCTCCGAAACTATGCATTTATAGGGCATGCATTTATACGAACTTTTTTTACTTATTTTTATCTGCAGAATATTCTACCAAAGTTTCCAAAATACAATTCGGACCACACTGACATATCTCTAAAACTAGCAAACGTTTTGCTCATTGTATTGTGCTTTTTTACATGTTAATGTCTATAATAATTGATTTTCACCTACGCCTATATCAGATTGATTAACTGAATTGTGATTATATCAAAATGCTTTTTTATTGTTATGTTAATGATGCGAAATCAAAAATACAATAGGACCAACTGCTAGTCTGATTTAAAATTCGATAATTCGTTTTGTTATAAACGATTTTAGCGTGAAAAAAGTTGCGTAATGTATTAATTTAAAATTATGCTTATAATTTTCAAATATGAAAGTTAATTTATTAATAAAAATGATGACTAACTAAAGTCTTCTTTAATCATTAGACGATCTGAATGAATGGAGAGACAAATTATAATTTTTTTTTCAAACAAACTTTTAAAACGTGACCTAAAAATTAAAGACTTAAGTGAAAATTTAGCTAAATTTGCTCGAAGGTACCTATACAGGGTGAGTCTTAAATATGTGCAAATATTTTTAGGGGTAGTATATTTTGACTCCAGAAACAGGATCATGAGGTTTTCTTCGCGAAAAAAAAATTTGAAAATTTGTAATTTTCTCTAATTTTATGAAAAAAAAATTGTACATTTTTTCAACATAGGTAGTAGTCAACATAAGTAGTAGATTAAATTTACAAGAAAACAAACCGATCCAGTAGTTCTCAAAATTTAAGCAAAAAATATATTTTTTTTTTTAAAAGTAAAATAACTCGGTTATTGTGGACTTATTCGAAAAACAAAGAGAAAATGTGTTTGTTTTATCGAGATAAATAGCATTTCATATCTGTTCATTATACTTATTGGAAGTTGGAAAGGGGGCTTAGTGCGTTTCAGTTCATTTTAAAAATTCCGACCGCAGCGCTCTATACGGCAGAAATTAGAAGTGCCGGGTATAAAGTATTTACATTCCGTTTATGTCGATTGCATTGAAATAATATTAAAATCGTGGCTTTGTCATAATATTTAAGTATTTTAGTTTTATAAACGACTCGATACTTTACACTCTTTGTTTCGCTGATGATCAAATAATACTGGCTCAAGACTACGAGGACTTACTTGGAATGGTTTGGTTTGGTTTGATTTAAAAAAACAAAAAAAAACAAACCAACGATGGTAGCCTTGGTGAAGAAAATAAATGCAGAAACAACCAGGGAAGACAAGCAATTAGACAACTCAACAGTATTCTATGGTATAAGGCAGTATCAAAACAAAACAAACACAAAATTTATAACAGCATACTGCATAGTTAAAAGCATCATTAGTTATAGTATTCACTCACTATATGTATGGCCTTTGAAAGAAAGAAGAAGAAAAACCTTAAACCCTCTATCAAACGGTATTAAAAAATATTTTGACGTTTCTTTCTCCACTTGAAAAGTCGAATTTTCAGAAATCGCAAACTTATACCTACGTTTTCTAATTATTTTATCCACTAATGAAGAAGGATATCTATTACACCCAGTTACATTCCTAATGTAATTTTTTTCTATTTCATATCTTTCCTTGGTAAGTGGAAAACTAACGTTCTCAATTATTAAATATATATTACGGTTGAGGGTTGGAACCTTTGGTGTTACACAGCAAAATAAAAACACTAAATCACCACAATAGACCAAAACACTTTTACTTTTACACTGGACGCGCGTTTCGCTAACCATGTTAGCATCATCAGCAGATGATTATAAACTGAAGTTATATAATCATCTGCCGATGATGCAAATATATATTATTCTCGAAATTTTGATAGTCTTATCAGCGTTTTTTATCTTTTGGTTGCTTTTTCAAAATGCCAACAACTTCAATTATTTCAAACAATAAAGGCATTTTGAAAAAGCAATTAATAGATAAAAAACGCTGATAAGACTACCAAAATGTTGATCAAATGATAATTTGACGTTTATACTATTACGTCAAAAGCCTACCATGACTTCACTGAATCATCTTTTCTTGTTCACTGTTATTAATATCTTAATTATTAGATATTAATACGTCTGGTATTATGGTATTCTGGTATTTCGTCGATTTTAAAATAAACTAACTGCTTCTATCTTATTTTTTTGTTAGAATGGGCCTAATTAAGAGGGCTACTGATACCGTGTTTAAAAATAAGGTAAGGGCTTATTTTTTGGTATTTATTATAATTTTGCTAATATCTTCGGTTTAAAAGAAGATATCAAGATGCGGTTTTCGCTGACTTTTTAAGCTTTTACTACTCTTTACTATCAGGTAAAATTACATATACTATTGCATTTAATTTTTTGGAAAAAACGCGCAATGTTTGTTAAATTGTAAGACAACGCCCCCTAGCGTCTACATTCAAAAGCTTATTATTATTGTTGATATGGTACATTATACAGTAAGAAACGCTTTTTTAAACGAGCCCTCGCTTGTTGGTTTCCGATCATCCAGTCCAGAGTTATTAATATTTAAATAAAAACAGATCTAACCTTCCCCCACCACTTAATTTTGGTAGATAGGGGAAAATGGCTTTAACAAAAAATATTCAAAATTTACTGAAGATTATGAAGCTGTTACTTATAGTACACCTTATCTAGGCAAATTGTGTAAAAACTCCATTTTCTTATTTTTTGTTGCAGTTGCAACCCCTTAGCGGTTGTTGTACAAACTTGAAAATAATTTCCAGCAATTTCCCATAGCCTCTTTAGCTATAAATATTTTTTTCCGCAGCCCCTACGGCTAATACTTTCCGAGATACAGCCGAGAGCTATTCTTAGTGGGACACCCGGTACATAATGATGTAAAATTATCGGTAATATTACGTAATACTATGGTAACATTGGTAATTTATAAAAAAACAGCTTTTTAAATTTAAATTTTCCAGCTCTGGCTCACCATTCTAAGATTCTTCTCCATTTAGTAAATTTTAATTATGGGCAATATAAGTAAATTTTCCGGCCCTTTCCACGGTAAGTTTGTTTCTTCTTGGTCGATGGACAAATCCATAAGTACATAAGGTTTTTTCGGTTGCGGCTTGTTATGATGGTAAATTTAAGTTGTCTATAGCCAACATACTTTTTTAGAGTTGGAGCAAATTCCTACCCGCACCAGACATAGATTTTTCGATGAAAAGGATGAATTCTTTAGCAAAAATATGACCTCTACTTTTGTATTATGCCAGTCTAACCTCCTACTTCATACACACCTTCCAAGTAGCATATCTATTGATACGCAAGTAGCTCCGACCGAACCCCACAATCCTCGCAGGGAAGACTGGGAGACGACCAAGCTAGTAATAACAGAACAAAAACTGAAATGGGCTATTGACACCTTTCAGCCTTATAAAACAGCAGGAATAGATGGGATTTTTCCTGCCCTTCTAAAGAAGGGTCAGGAAATAGCTACACACCATCTATTAAACATTACAAGAAGCAGCTTAGCGATGGGATATATACCAACCATCTGGAGAAGAGCTAAAGTCATCTTCATACCCAAAATAGGCAAAACTGACTGGGCTAACCCCAAATCATTTAGGCCTATTAGTCTCACATCGTTCATATTAAAAACGATGGAGAAAGTAGTGGACAACCATATTAGAGTAAATCATCTACAGGTTAAGCCACTGCACGATAGTCAGCATGCATATAGAGCGGGCAGATCCACAGAAACTGCTCTGTACCAGTTAACTGAGCTAATACAGGCAAGCCTGGATAGCAAAGAAACAGCACTTTGTGCCTTCTTGGACATTGCAGGGGCGTTTGACAATATACCTCACAAGGTGGTCAAGCGATCTCTTGAAACAAGAGGGGCGAACAGTACGATAATTCGCTGGTTTTGGGAAATGCTCTCAACACGAACAGCAGAGGCTGAGATAGGTACCAAAACTGTAGTTGTTAAAACAACGCAAGGAACTCCACAAGGTGGAGTGACCTCCCCCCTACTGTGGAGCTTGGTAGTGGATGAACTACTGGAAGAATTAACTCTAGCGGGAATACACTGCATAGGGTACGCAGATGACATAGTCATCATTGCACAGGGGAAACATGAAGGCACCCTGTGTGATATTATCCAAAGAGGATTCCGCATCGCTGAGAGATGGTGCAGGACTGTCGGGCTGAGTATTAACTCAGATAAAACCGCAGTAGTGCCATTCACCAGAAAGCGAAGTTTGAAAAACTTGAAAAGAATCCATCTAGATGGAAAGGAAATACTGCCATCACAGGAAGTGAAATATCTGGGAATAACCCTGGATAGTAAACTTCTCTGGAACAGGCATATTAAGAACATTACCAGCAAAGCCACAAAGGCTCTCATGATATGCAGAAGACTGGCGGGAAATAGGTGGGGCTGCGCCCCTAACATTTTGCGCTGGATGTATACCATGATAGTAAGACCCATGATTACTTATGGAGCAGTTGCTTGGTATACAAAACTAGAGCAACGTACAGCAAGGCAAACCCTGTGCAAAGTACAGAGACTGGCATGTATCTGCATCACAGGTGCCATGAGAACATGTCCAACAGCAGCAATGGAGGTCATTCTAGACCTAACACCACTGCATATTGTCGTCGGTAGTTATGCCAATGCGACAATGATTAGAATGGTCATTGACGGAAACAGTACTGGGAGAATTTTCAGGTCAGGGGCTTGGAACACCCTCAAAAAGAAAATTCCACTTCTCCAACTCCCAGTGGATGACATACCAAGAATTTACAACTTTGAGAAACACCTCACTGTAGTATTGAGTAATAAAAAGGATTGGAAGAAAGAAACGCTTACTCAGCATATAAAAGACCATACCATCACGTGGTATACTGATGCTTCCAAAACCAAAGCAGGGACAGGGATAGGAGTATTTGGGCCGAAAACTGAATACTCCGAACCAATGGGCACCTACCCCAGTATCCTTCAGGCAGAAATTTGCGCTATCGAAAGATGCGTACAATTTATCTTGGATAGGAACTATCGAAAACAGGAAATTGCCATCCTATCCGATAGTCAAGCAGCACTTAACGCGATCAACTCAGTAACCATCAATTCGAAGTTGGTCAAAGAATGCCTAGAGAAGCTCAACAAATTAGGCAAAGAAAATAAAGTCCTCCTACTCTGGGTGCCTGCTCACCAAGGGATAGAAGGCAATGAAAAAGCAAATGATCTAGCTAGAAAAGGAGCGAACACTCCACTAACTGGACCAGAACCGTTCTGTTTTTCAAACGGGAACCAACTGAAAGCGGAACTGAAGAATCTGGAAGACTCCATCCGTAACTTGGAATGGGTGTCCTCCAACGGTCTAAGACACTCTCGAAAAAGTTCCTTAGAACTTATGACCGAGAAAAATCAAAGGTTTTCCTTGATTTAAGTAAAAACAATCTTCGGATTGTCACGGGGTTTCTAACAGGACACTGTCTCCTCAACGAACACCTCAGTAGGCTGAAACTGAGAAACAACGGCGAATGCAGATTTTGTGGGGAAAATGGGGAAACACCAGAACACCTTATCACTGAGTGCGCCGAGACGACGACCATTTGTGCCATGAACCTTGGTACGTCTGATGTCGAGGATGGAGAGCTGGCCTCTGTGGAGCCGTCTCAGATACTGGCTTTTCTTAAAGCCCTGAGACTGTATGATGAGTTATAACTCGTTATAACTCAAGAAAGGGGAACACACAATAGATCTATAAGGTCGCGGTGATTAACTCCCCTCCTAAACATTCTACATTCTACATTGTGCCAGTCAGTGCTTTCATAATGAGATCGGTATAACGGATCCGCCAGGCTTCAAATAGTATAACCAAGGGTATAACTATTTAACTGCTAAGCTTTTCAATGAGTGTTTAGTGTCCAAAAAGCTTTTTAGACAAGAAACAAAGCAGCCTCATCTTCTTTTCACCAAAAAAAAAGAAAAAGAGAAGAGCGGTAAAAAAGCAATATTTCCAATGTTAGCGATCTTGCGGTAATATTACCAAAATTACTGGTAATATTACCGCCGTAATATTACATTTTACATCACTATACGCACATAGTGCACAACCTGTTGTTTTATCTTAGTTTCTATAATTGATTTTAACTTAAATTTATAAATAAACAAAGTGGTATATGAAGTTGGAGCAACTTGAAATTTCGTTTAATGTTTGAAAACTTGTTTTGTTCTAATCGTATTCGGTGCGAACAAGTTGTGTAAGGTATTATAGTTAATAATTAAGCTTATAAATTTAGAATATGAAAGTTAATT